GACTGCAGAAATTATATTATATCTCCAATAGTCAACACTCAGATAAACATCCTGTAAGTCAGACGAATAATGCTCATCGTAACCCCATATATAGTTAATAAATGAAACACCCTCGAACCGCTAACACGAGCTTCTGTAAATTGTTTATGAAAATCTAGTTAAGGACAAAACTTCACTATCAGCCTTGCAGTCGGTCCGCGCTTCAGAAACGGCTGTGAATGAAGTTTACGGCCAAAGAAAATTCCTGGAAGCACCAGTAAAGGTTATGGTGGTGCCAATACCTGAACTAGAGCGACTTTGGACCCCCAGAGTGCACTTTAACAGAATATTTTTTACTTAATGGCCCCTAATTATTGAATTTATAAAAAAATTACATCATAATTTACCCTAGAAATCTAGTATGCTACATATAGTAAATCATATTCTTACCTATAAGAAAACATACTGGTAAAAATAGTAAAAAATATGCCTATTTTAAGAAATGACCTGTAAAAAAAATGTTAGAAATTCTTTTATTTAGGTACATATTACCACGAGATGTATGAACTCATACTCCTACCAATAAAGTTCAATATCTTCTTTTTATTTTTAATATTAGGTGATTCCCAGTTAGTCGGAAACCATCTAGTTATCGTAAGTAATAACATTTACTGTAGCCATGCCTCAATATTTTTCAAGTACCTACCCTAATACACTTTATTTTATTTGTTACCATTGCTTACACTAGTAAAGAAGCCGAGTAAATTGAGCTTTAAAAAAGTATCCATCAAGGGGAGCCACCCGCGTATTGAGCTCAGTCGGTAAGGCGGTGAACCCCATGTACACTAAGTTGCTGAAGCGGCCCGGGTTCAATCCAACCTCCCGGGCCGCTGCAGCAACTTCGTACATGGGTCACCAGCTCTACCGACTGAGCTAACCGGGCGCCCTATGATACTTTTTTAAAGCTAATTTACTCGCTATTTACTAGGAAACTAGATGGTAACAAAATAAAATAAAGTTATTAGGAAGGTACTGAAAAAAGTGGCTCGTAAATGTTATTACTTAGTAACTAGATGGTTCATAACTGGAACTCACCAATATTAAAAGAAGAATTGAACTTATGGTATTTCCATATACATACTGTGGTAATATGTACCTAATAAAGAATTTACTAACATTTTTTTTAGGTCATTTCTTAAAATAGGATATTTTTTACCTTTTTACCCAGTATGTTTCTATGTACTTATAGGTAATAATTGTCTACCTATATGTGACCATCTAGTTTCTGGGTAAATATGATGTAATTTTTTATAAATTCATTTAGGGGCCATTAAAGTAAAAGAAATACTTCTGTTAAAGTGCACTCTGGGTACAGTCAGTCCTCAGATGCACACAAACCTTTACTGTGACCTTCCAGGATGTTTCTTTGGCAGCTAAACTTCATTCCACAGCCGTCTGAAGGCGACCGACTGCAGCTGATAGTGAAGTCTTTGTCCTTAACTGATTTTATAAACAATTTACAGAACTGTGTTAGCGGTTCGAGGTGTTTCATTATTAACTTATATGGTTACGATGAGCATTTATTCGATCTGACTTACAGGATGTTTATCTGATGTGAACTTTGGAGATCATAAAATATAATTCTGCTCTTTATATCTCACATTATCATTCTTTATCCAAAGGTTTTGGTCTGTCTGTTTCCAGCGTTCTGATCTGATCAGACTTTTTATGGAACATCACCAGCAGCATTTGTTCTCACAGTTCTCCCAATCCAACACTCCTCAGAACTTAATGTGTGTTTGTGTTTTGACTGTCGGGGTGTTATTGGGGGTTGAAATTAGGATGGTGAAGGTAGTTCATTTGTTTAGTTACTGCTTTGCTTCTGTATTTTATTCATCTTTTTCAAGCCATCATAGGTTCATTAGGGTCACTGTTCATCAACACGTCTTCTGGCTGCATTGCAGTCAGTTTTTTTAAAACTTTTACTGATGGTGTATTATATCTATATTTAAATGTATTCAATGCCAGCTCTAGTCGCCAACCAAGCCCACATCTGAAAGATAGTGGATACTATGAATATCCACTATAAATATAATCGACATCTGTCTTTTAAGTTTGAAATCAACTAGTTCGTACAAAGTTAACACTTCTTAAGACAAAAGTGTTTATACCCATATTTGTTATGAATGGACAAATTGGAAGACATGGAAGAAATGGTGAATCATTTTCAAAAAACACTGCAAATTTTCTGGCCTTCACACACACAGCCTCCATGGAAGTGAGCGTGATTGCTGGATTGTTCAACCATACAGGGGTTGCCACATGTGGATGTTGAAGGAATTATCAATTGAAAAACCAGAATGTAACCAGAGTTTTCAGAATGAGCCTGTGTGGCAAAAGGAAACAATGCACTGATCCATATCTACACCTTGTCTTGACTACATCTAGAAAATGTATAATGGAAATTCAGATCACACACTTACTTTTTCTACTCCACACTATCTACTTTTTTAAACAGGTGGACTTTGTGTAGGTTTTTATTGACATAGAAGAGACATTTTGCCAAAAATAGTGGAAAGACCCACACTAGCATGCTTTCTGTCAACACCATCTTCATCATCATAAATTGTCTCAGGATTAAAGGATTTATCGGCCTGCTGTTGTTCTGCAGACGTTCTCTGATTAATGTGTAAAACCTGAGGTGAATACCAGGTTAATTGAACTGGGAAATGTGGTTTCTGTGTGTGTGTGTTATGGTATGTGTGTGTTCAGAGCGCTTCTATGTAATAGACTGAGCAGTAGGGTGTACTGCTGAAAGTACAGGAGATGATGTATGAGACAGTTTAGGATTAAGAGTGAATCACTGCAGAGAAGAACGCAGCAGAGAAAAGGACTTCACACGAGCTTCCAAAATAAAATGCAAGAGTCAAGTTAACATTTGACATGAGTTACGGCAAAGATTGGAGAGTCAAACTAGGGCAATATATGATTAAATTAATAAATAAAATCTTAATAAAGCTAATAAAATGAGTAGATAAAGACATACAATTAAAACACAAGAAATCAATTATAAATAAAGATTTTAAACTTGAAAAATGAAACTAAAAAAAAAGTCACTGCCACTAAATGTCGCACTAGAGCACCAGCGTCTCAGACTAAAAAAATGGCCACTACTGCTGACCAGACTCCACTGACAAATCCAATAATTTTACCTAGCAGATAATCATAAAACACACTTTACACTGTACAGAAACAACATAAAACTCACCAAAATGTCTTTGTTAGTATTTGAATTGCTAGTATGTCAATGGCAAACTATGACTCCATTATCTCTTTACATAGCAAATTGTTGCTGCTATATTAATGGTTTGAATCTCATATATATATATCACCTTTAACATTTTTATTAGATTTAATTTGGTTTTATTATCATTAATATTTTTGTTGTGAATATAGAGGCTAACAGTGTTCACTAGAGGCTGCATTACAGCCACAATATGATACTGAACAGATCAAATATATTAATTATTTATCTAATGTAAGAGTCTCACCAGTCGTGATAAAAATGTCAACTTTGTTATGAGGGTGGTGCTCAAGGGAAGGTCAATGTGTGATTAAAATCGAACTGGTTATTCCCTGACTGGACATATCTGCTCTGATTGGTTGTTAATTTAAATAACTACCTGGGGTTTAATAAAGATGTCTGTCTTTGTTTCTATTTCCCAGTTTGTTTGGCTGCTCATGGTCGCTATGCTCAGAAGCTGATGACTGATTTGTTCACCAACTACACCAACGCTCTGCGGCCAGTGGAGGACACTGACCACATCATCAACGTCACACTGCAGATCACTCTCTCCCAGATCATCGATATGGTAATCCTGAATGCTGATCTGGATGTTCATGTTGAGTGTATTCATGCCCGGGTTGATGTGTTTGTGTCCTCTCACCAGGATGAGCGGAACCAGATCCTGACTACCTACCTATGGGTGCGGCAAGTATGGATGGACTACTACCTCAGCTGGAAGAAGGAGGACTATGACGGCCTTGACACCATCCGCATACCCAGCAGCTACGTATGGAGACCTGATATTGTCCTTTATAACAGGTAGGTGTGGCCCCCTGCTGTCAAATCCCATCTCCCCAACTCCAATCCTCTGTTCCCTCCCCCTGCCTTCACACAACTACCTCCACTTTTTTAACCACAGTGCAGATGATGAGTTCTCCAGCTCAATGGAGACCAATGTGGTTCTTCGTAACGATGGTCAGGTCATGTGGGACCAGCCAGCCATCACCAAAAGCTCCTGCTCCGTGGACGTGGCCTTTTTCCCCTTTGATGTGCAGGAGTGTCATCTAACCTTTGGCTCCTGGACTCACAACGGCAACCAGATGGACTTGATTAATGCGTTGGACAGCGCTGACCTGGCTGACTTTGTCCCCAATGTGGAGTGGGAGGTGAGTGGTTACCTTGTTTATGAGTTCAGAACAAGGCCTTAGTCCTGCATCTAATTCCTTGATAAAACTGTATCATTTTTCCTAACCAGGTTCTGGGCATGCCAGCCAAGAAGAATGTCATCCTGTATGGTTGCTGTTCAGATCCGTATCCAGACATCACCTTCACACTCCACCTAAAGAGACGCGCCTCCTTCTACATTTTCAACCTCCTCATTCCCTGCATGATGATCTCCTTTCTGTCTCCCCTGGGCTTCTATCTGCCGGCTGACTCGGGTGAAAAGGTTTCACTGGGTGTCACGGTGCTGCTGGCCCTCACTGTGTTTCAGTTGCTGGTGGCTGAGAGCATGCCGCCCTCCGAGAGCGTCCCACTGATAGGTGAGAAGGCTGAAGAATCTCTAATTTTGTTGTTAATTTGTTAGGAAGATTAGGAATAACACTGGTTTAAATAGCTTGACTAAGTTCTTTAGGAACTGAAACGTGAAGGCGTCATTGTTGTGTCCACTTCACCGTCGTAATGACAGTTTCCCAACTTCCAGATTCCTGAAAAGCATTTAGTTATGACACTGTCAACAAATGCAGGCAACAGGCAGTGTTTCCAAGGCACTGATAGGCAAAGCCATAAAAAAATTGTTGGCAGTTCATGTGATTACATCATAGGAATGCTGTCCTGCATCTTGTCAAACAAGTACAACAGCTTCTGTCTGCTCAGCATGTTCTGACTCTAAGGTTAATATTAGACCCAAGGTAGAAATGTTATTTTGAAATAGCAAAACTCAATGTCCAATGGTTGTTTTGCAAACACATTCCAAACTTTCCTCTACTTTTTTCACTTTAGAACCTTTGGAACCATTTGGCATTTAATATGATAGTTACATTCAACTGATGATAGGATTGTTCTGGGCTTTAGATTGTTGTTAGCTATTGATTTAAACATAGACCTTCTTGTATATCTTGGACTGACTTGTTTTGCAATTGTGTGGGCAGTAATAGATTAAAATAAAAAGACTTAAGAAAGAAAGAAAGAAAGAAAGAAAGAAAGAAGTCTCCAGTAACCCCAGTGCACATACACACCATGCGCTAGATTCATTTTGTGCCAAAGGTTTGTCACTGCCGAAACCAGAAATGCTGCAAAACATCATCCTAAGAGCGACAGCAAGCCAAGCAATACTGGAAAGACAAGGAAGGTTCAACAACTTATTTCACAGATGACGGTAAATGTTTGTCAGAGCGACAGAGAGTATCAGATGAGGTGAGATGAGGATCAGTTTTCTCTGATAAAAGAATACACTTCATCAGGACCTCTAAACAACTCAGCAGCGTTTCTTCCAAACACTGGTGAGTAGAACCGGTGATACTTACAATAGTTCAAGTAACATTACTCTATTCAAGGAGAATAACGGGGTTAGAGAGACAGAGAGACAGAGAGAGAGAGAGAGAGGGGTAAGGGGATGGGTTGTAAAGAGAAGAAAGAGACAGAGACAAAGGTGCACAGCAATAACAATACTAGTAGAAATAACTAATAATGAGGATGATGATGACGACGACAATAGCCACAACGATGGGGAATAATAATAATAATAATAATAATAATAATACAATATTACATGATGAATTTAAAATACATTAAACTTTGTTTAGTTATTGCATAATGCATTGTCATACCTTGTTCTACTGTACTTACAGTTTGATATTGTTAAACCAATAATACAATTTTGCATTTTGACACTTCTCAGTGCATAGATATGTCTGCTGCCAGCTGTCTGCTGACTGAAGATCAGTTTCTGTGCTCCATC